GAAAGAGCACAGAATTACCTGTCCTTTTTTCCAGTCAAGACAGAATGTATGAATTTATTACAAGAAAAAAAAGTGTGCAAATGAACTTCCTGTAATTAGGCCATTCTGACCTGTGTAGAATCACACTTTGTTTGAAATTTATAAAAATTATAACTAGTACAAAACATTGTGGTGAACGTCTCTATATGAAGTAACAAGCTAAGTGAGCTTTCTTCCTATTCAGATTAAATGAGTACCAGTAAAGGCACAACATCACAGCTGAAAAAAAATCCATACATCTATCCCATATAACTCTATCTGTCCAACACATGTGTCACAAAAGGCACGGTGGTTTTTTGTACCTCTACCTGTCTACCTTGGCCAAGTTCCTGGTGCCTTGAGACTCGCAGGAGAGTGCAAAGGTTCACACAGACAGATCAGCGTTGCAGCCATAAGGTAAGGCAGTTGTAGGATAACATTATTCTAGTTACTCCCAAGTTATCTGCATACCTTTGGCTACCAGTGGTGGATTAGGGAGCGCTAATTGACCCAAATGTGTGTGGTGGGCAAGCAGGTAAAAATGAGAATGCAGAAACACAATGCCAATAGAGAGAGCAAAATAAATTGGAACTAATTTCAGCTGGTATCCAGATTTCTGGGGGGCAGACTTCACCTCTCTTGAGTTTTCAATTCATTGGCCTTATCCCATTAGTGCAGTGTGATATGGGTATGAGCAAATGAAGAATTAGGACCACAGTTCCCAGATGTGGGGCTGGCTTTGTCCCACCTCCTCCAAAAAAAAAACAGGCCCCATGGCAATGGCCTCGGGCTGGAAATGCACCCGCACACGTGAGCGGGCGTAATGCTCTCCTGTTGCAGGTCTCTGGCACGTGGCTCCTCGTGCTGGGACCTGCCTGTGCAGCTCCTGTCCCAGCTTGGCGTGGTTTGCAGGAGGCGCTTCACAGGACACCGGTGGCGCATTGCATTCTGCTGAGGAGTGTGTTTGGATGCAATGCTAATGCTGATCCACCTTCAACAAGCTCGGTCCTGGGAGCAGGACTGAACCAGCCAGCAAAGGCTGCTGACAGTCCCCGACTTGGACCAGAGCCCGCTTGGGGCTTTGCTCAGCCCCGTCTTGCATTTAGCAGGTGCTCTGCAGAGATGGCTCAAGATCACACCTCTCGCTTCTGTGCCTTAACATAAGAGTTCAGCCCTAAAGTAAGTACTTTTTTAAAGAACACATAGGAAGTACTGAATTTACAGGTTGTAACCCTCTGCTGGGGTCCAGCTGCCGTCTGCGCTAGGTTATTAAAATCGGAGAGAGATGCATGGAGCCATGTGGCTTGCAGAGCCCCAGGTCTCAGCTGCAGAGTGAGAGCCTGTCCTCCCCCCATTTAGCCCAGCAGTCTTTTCTGTTTTCACTTTCTTTCCTAACCATCATTTATTTCCTTCTGCGGTAGTTTACAGATGAGAAGCATCGGTCTCCCCTGTCTCTCCCCACCTCCTTTCCAGCCATGTGACTGAGCACTCCCAGTATCAAGTGAAACTTTGCAGTCCCCGGGAAACCTTGATTTCCTTTCCACCTGCTCCACGGTGAGAAGCAGCGTCTCTCAAACCCGCCGCTGTGCTGGCCATGGGGAGGAACGCACGGCCATTCGTCTTGCTAACCTTTGCCTGTGGTGAGTAACATCCTCCATTTTTTCTATCAGAAAAATGGGATAGACTAGCTTTGTCTCCTTGCAGGTCCTTTCCAAAGCAGCACCTAATGGACTGAAAACTTTAAACAGTTTTGCTGCTAGGACTAAGGGTGCTTTTAGTAAGGTCCCACTGCTAGGAAATAACTAGAACCAGTTTTAATTGCAGACCATAGACTTGGCCCAACGTTTTCCTGTGTATTTTCCCTTGTGCTCTGTGGTGACATAAACTCTGACTGTGTGATGGAGTCAGCTCAAAATAGGATTAGAAGCAGACTTTTTTGGGCTTGCTTTTCTTAATTAAAAAATAACTTCCTGGCCAGCGGAACTGACTGAAAGTCTTGAGTAAGACAAGCAGAAGAAAAACTAAGGAAGCCTTGCTCGAGCCATTCATTAGTCTGCACCACAAGATGTGGAGGATGATAAGGAAAGTGAGAGTGAGGTGGGGGCTTGGAGACGGCAGGCTGGGGGGCTTCGCTCAGTGACAAACCACATCAAAGGCACTGTTCAATCATTGATGCCGCTCTGTGGAAATCTGTGGAGCCAGCCTGGTCAAGGACATGTCACAGCACGTTAAGTCACATTAAACAGTACAAAACCTGCCAGGTGAAGGAGGACAGAGCATGATTCAATCTGTGTAATGGCTAAAAATTTGAGCTTGCTGGTGGGGTGCTGGATTTCTGCAGCGTGTTTTGCCATTGACACACAGGGATCACACAGGTAACAACCCTCTCACTCATCCCCCTCCCAGTGCAGTGAGCAGGGAAACAGCCCAAGGACTCGACCACAAGCAGCTCCCTCTGTGTCTGCTCTGCTTTCTCACACCTGCTTTCTAGCCAGGGTCTGCTAATGTAGCCCCAAAACATATACATGAAAGGAGAGCAGGATCAGACTGAGAGAATTAACACTAATAACTCAGTGCTCAGCAAGGATCTTTTTGACCAGAAAGAACTTGTTTCCTCAGCTCCTTATCCACTTTTGACCATTCCTTTAATAATTTGTTGTGATATTTTATTAAGGCCACAAAGCCAAGTCTTTCTGTGCAAGACAGGGAAAAAGGTCTGATGCGCTGGAGGTTTAGGAAACTGCTCCTATGTTGGAGGGAACCTGTGACAGTACCAAAACCTCTCAGAAAATCTTTGTGCTTTTCCAGTTCCTCAAGGACTCAAACCAAAGCAGCTGGAGCTGGCAAGAACATTTTCAGTAATTGTAGGAGCTGGACAATGTTTTTTTTACTCCACACAAAATCAGTCAGCTAAACATGAGCATTTCTTCTGGGCAGCATAAAGCAGAACAAACCTGCTGGGTGGCTGAGCAGCATGGGTGTGTGGTTGGACAAGAAGGGGAAAAAAAAATCCTCAGCAAGAGTTTTTTCATCCACTCCATTACAGGGTGGCAGGCTGAGACAGATCATGGCACCAAGTGCTTCACTTCCCACCATAATGCCTGGGGGCAGAGCAGTGACATTCCTGTGCTGGCATTGACTGAAACTTGTCACCAAAGCATGAAAACAGGGGGTCCAGGTCCAGACCAGGACCAGCAAATTTCTGAGACCTGTCCTGTTGCTTTTCTGAGAGTTTTGTTCTGGACTGTTGCATGCATCCTTGTGAGTATGCATCTCTCACGCAAAATGTTGGTTATATAAAGTTTGGAGCTGGCTTCACAGGAAAGAAAAAAAGAAGGAAGAAGGAGCTAACAGGGGGATGCAGAGCTGCAATTCTTCATTGTTCTGTGGCCCATTTTGCTGGCAGAGCCCTGAAAGGGGCTGTGGTGGAGGGAGCCGTGTAGGCAGCTCCTTTTCCAAGCTGTGCCAGGCTCCCTAAGAGGCATCGCTGCAATGCTGAGGCAGCCATGGTGAAGCCTTCCAGGCCTTAGTTGGGTGGTAGGTCAGGTACCCCATGAGCCCACCTGCCCCTTTGCACAGCAGAGCTACCCAACCCCCTTCCAACAGCCACCCAACAAGAGCCAAGACCATTCGGAGGCAACTGGAGAGCAATCCTTACCCATCCCTGGGAGTTCATGTGACCAAAAGCCTTTTGAGATGACCCAAGCCAGTAGGTTTAGCAGCATGACCATGCCCTGGCAGAAGCTCCAAAATGCTTGGGAGAGCTGTGAGAGGCTGGAAGAGCCCTCTGGTCATCTGGTGAGCACGAGCCAATGGGCCACTCCAAAGACTTTATGACTTTACCCCTCAGTGACCGTGTCAGGCCGAATATTTCTCTCATGAAAAATAGAATGACGTGACCTTTTGGGGAAAACAAAGTTTCATTTAAAAGCTATGGGTGGCATCCAAATGCCAATGAAATAATATTTCCCTCCATGTCTGTAAGGTAAGTGTTGTCTGGTCAGTAATTGAAACCAATCTGTTAACCAAAAACTATGAAGTCCTCCTGACTGTTCAAGACTTATGTAAATTTAAACATGGGGTATTTTGCAGACTCATGGGGAAAAAAAGAGTGAAAATTGCAACATCTTTTTTGGGTTTATTGTGCTGATACACTTGGCTGCAACTACATATAATTGGTATATGGCAACTGCTCTGATTTTCCGCTGTTACACAGAGGAGATAAGTTGTCTGCTTTTCAGTTCTGTCAGCAGGTATGGTAAAGTCTAGGGCAGAGTGAGAAAATGAACTAAGTTATCATTAATTATGGCATTTTTTAGGCTCTTTCTGGTGAAATTCACAATAAGAGTGATCTGTCTCGTCATTTTTGTGACGTTCCAACTGTATCACGTTGCACTTCTTTGCCAGTAACAGCTACGCTGGCAGGCAAGTATGCTCTCTACAGCAGAGAGGTGAAACCCAGGCAACGCTTCTGCTCTTCTCTAGCATAGCTATTTTTGAGGGAAAATTGTGGTGTGGCTTCAGATCTGTACATCTGTACTCATTTCTTTGGTTTCTATCTTAAATTTGATTCAAAACCCAGTAGATATTTTTGTAAGTATGCTAAAATGGTGAGATTTTGGGAGTTGAGCTATTGTTGGAGATATCTGTTCATGCTGAGTGAAAATACATAAATAAAAGGAAGAAGAGCTTGTGAGATTTCAGCCATTTCCATTCTAAATGTGCCTCTGGCCTTAATCAGTCATAAAAATCCAAACTCTGCAATCTGCCTGCCACAAACCCTTGACATGAATTTCTTTGGAAGAACCAGCATACAATAAACTTCTCAGGCAAGGTGTTGTGGTGTCCTCTGTGGAGCCATACTGCTGGAAACGTGAACTGTCTTGGCCTTTTGGGTCCCTTCCGTCTCCAGAAATCATCTCTGTCCTCCAGCTAATTTAGGCGGTAAAGCACTTAACTAAACCCAAAGCTTCGTGAACATCAGGGAATTCATACATCAGTGATTTATGATTTCTTTTAGCTTGACCTTGTCTTTACAGAGTCTTGTTGCATAGTCACAAAGACTCAAACAGAAGAGTTGTGACCTTCATCTGTTCTGCAGCGTACTTTTCCCACTTTTTTCTTCACTTTGTAATTTACATTTAGGAGGCAGATATTTTCTTTTCAGTTCTGCAAGGGACATTCATCTGTAAGTGTTATAAGATGGAAGTGTAATTTTGGTGCTGTGACTATTTTGAGATGTGGTCCAAAACACCCCTTGGATGCTGTACCTTGAAATTTGTTTCTCATTGCTGAAAGCCCATCACTAAGATGGCTGGTCTTTCCCTGTTTGGAGCATCCCCTTGGGTACTTCCCAGGAGGAACTTCAGGTTTCAAGCTGGCATGGCTGCAACAAAGCCATAAATAAATATCTGGAATTTCCCCGTTTCCCAAACTATTGTGAATCACTGTAAGACCATTACAGCGCCTCATTTCCTTCACAGACAAAAATGTTCCCTTTCCTAATGCTTTGCTGGGAAGTAACCAACCACCCCTTTGCCTGTTACACCCACTTCATCTTTCTTAGACCTTAATAATTTGCCTCTAGCAAATCTTGCTGAACTACTGCCTGCAAGCGAATTCTTGTGCTCCCTCGGGATTGTGCAAGGTCTGCTTGTACCTCTGGCATCCTCTGGCTTCTTCAGCAGTAAAAGCAGCATGTGAGGAGCTGGAAGCCAACATGCTTCACCTCCAATGAGTATATTCAGAGATGTGTGACGAAAAGTTATGGATAGTCCTGCAGCATGTCTGCTTTCACTCTGCTATCATGACCGGGGCCAAATGAAAATTAAAAATCCTATCACCCATTTAATAGCAAAATCAGTGCAGTTATGTTGTGGATATCAAGACAAATGTTGAATGTAAAGGTTTCTAGACTACTGACTTAGATGTTTCTTTGCAGCATTTTCCTCCTGCTTTGCTGAAGTGGCCCTGGGTGTCGAACTGTCTACAAAAACCATATCTTTCCACCGCACAGCTACTTCTGCTCAGCCACTTTATTATTCTTCGTCCCACCATGGCACCACAGTTCATTTTAATAGCACAGACTCTCTTAAAACAGCATCCATAAGCGACAGAACAATGATGCAGACAACAGACCAGCATGAGGTAACAACAGCATCAGCCCATCACACGACAGCCCAGGCAGAAGCAAGCACCACACAAATGACCACCCAGAAATCTCCCACAACATCAGCAGACAACACAACTGCAAGTGGTCAGGCTACAACCCAGGCAATGGAAGCGGTTACATCTGCAGGGGAGAACACAACCAGGCACTTTCTGTCCTCAACCAAGCACAGCAGAACACACGTGAACACAGAAGTGACAGCAGCAGCCACAAACACAACCGTAAAACACACAATGCCGAAGACACAAATGACAACTGCTGCCGTAACTACTACAGCCACAACCACACGAACTGTAAAACCCACCACCGGGTCAGGAAATCAAACAACAGCACCTAAAAGTCCAACAGCCATGACCAACACAACAACCATTCGTCCAGGGACTCAAACAACCAGTCCATCTACTACAACGACAGTGAGACCTACTCTTGCACCACAGCCCTCTCCCATCCCCACGGGCACATACACCATTTCCAGTGGGAACAAGACCTGCATCAAAGCAGTCATGGGTTTGCAGCTGATGGCTCAAAATACACACACGGTGAGGTGGAAGCCCTACAAGGCTGAGCTTTTTAATGCCCGTTGCTTCATTAGCTGGGATTTATTCTTTCAATGCAATTTTTCAGAAGTTATCTTGCATGATAAAACTAAGTGGTGTGCTTCCAGTCTGAGGCCTTTTCTATGCCACAGCATCTCAGCTGCTGTGCTTTGACTTGTCTGATGATGTCAGTGGGATGTGCAGGTGCTTTCTTACTTCAGTGGTGTATGTGGTAGCAGTACTGGGGGACAGGTCAGCCTGCAGTGTTTTGTGGTTCCCAGAATGGGTGGCTAGCTAAAATCTGAATTGGCTTCAATGAAGGGCTTGATGCTGTGAGTTGCAAGGAAAGCAAGCAATTGTCAATTCACAGACTTGGATTCAGAGATGGGTTGTCTTGATGCTTGAAGCATGGAGATTTTAGGATCACAAGAACTGCCAGGCTGGATCAGAGCAGGGAGCCGGTGGCCACTCCTAGCAGTGATCTACTGTGAGTGATTCAACAAAAGATGTCATAAAACCCAAAATGGTGATTATGCGTCTCAGATTTAGGATTTTGTAGCTTCCGTTAATACAACATGTGGGGTTAGAGCCTCAGGCCCTAGAGTTCATATGCCTTGAGCCATCCCCGTTACAAATCCGAATATTGTTTGGGATCTGAATATTTGTAACATGGGAATATTGGTTAAAGTAATTTTTATCCCTCATCCTGTCAGAAGCCAGGCAGGGAGCATGATTCACAACCTCCTCAGACCACAGTGAGATATCTATTGCAAAAGTAAGGGGTGTCTGAGATGAGACTGAAGGAGCCAAACTCTATTCACCACTGTAGAGCTCTCCCTTCAGACTACAGCGTGGCTTGGCAGATGCTAGAGATGAACTGTGCAGGACATAATGAGGAATCTGGGGTTATACAAGGAGCAACACATGTTGAAGCAAATCTAACGCCTGCCTGCCTCTGCCTTGATCTTTCCTCCACCTTCAGGCATGAGTTCCCACTGCTCCCTCTTTTTAAATTACCACTGGTGCTCATCTGACCCTGCACTGAAGCATATCAGTTCACCAAATGACAAAAAAACTATTTTTTTTTGCCAGCTTAATGCACTCGAACAGCTCAGTGGTGTGCCAGGCAAGCACTAGTGCTGGTTTATGAGTGGGAAATGACCCTGTCAGACAGACATTAAGCTGTCACCACCACTGGCCTCTTCATTCAGCCGCACAGAGCCTGTTTGGGGGCGGGGGAAGCATTTATAAATCTCTGTATGTTTCTCAATAACTTTTCCCCAGCAGCCCTGCAATGCCCTTTCTCTCCACAGAAGCAGATGGAGTACATGGCTGTCAACCCCAATGCGACACAGACCTCTGGAAGCTGTGGGACGGTGCAGTCTGAGCTGAACATAACGTTCAGTGGAGGATTCATAAACTTCACCTTTGTAAAGGTAGTTGTTGCATTTAGAGGGAAGGAGTGTTTAGGGTTGGGGAGCTGGAACTTAGGCTACCTTTGATGCAGCTTGTGCTGTGGGAAAAGGCATTTCATCCACCTCTATGCTATGTTTCCACCTGTATATAAAGCAGTATTGCTCCTGTCCTTCCCAAGAGGCTGGAATCAGAACCATGGATTAACTGAAGTTAGAAAACACCTTTTGAGCCCACCTGGTCCAACCCCCTGGTCAGAGCAGGGGTAATTTTGACGTTAAATCAGGTCTTGTCTGTTTAAACTTTCAATTTGAAAAGGTTCATAAGTGCAATAAAGGGTAAGTACAGTGCCTTGTCATCCTTTGATAGAAAGTGCTAGAGAACAGCGTTAGAGCTACCCCTTTAGCAACACAAAGTCTAGAAATAGCCTTAGGTAAAACCTAAGTCTCATTTTCACATAGGTTAACGTCTAGTGGGAGGGAATGCCAGGTCTGCTGTTCGCATTGGAGGGGACAGAGGGAATGGGTTGGGACTGGAGTCCCTGGGCAGGAACACGGTGTGTGTGTGCCAGGAGCTCTGACTCACACTATCAAGTTGTTCTTATGAAATGGTGTCTCAGGAACCACCTGAATGCAGGTAAGGTCAGTCATTTACTTCTCATAAATGCCAAATATCGCAACTGCCCAGCCAAAAGCCAGCTGTGGTTGTTAAATCCAAAGGGCAGCCTGTGTAGTTGTAAGCACCCAGGAACCACGGCCCACCCACAGCTGAAGGGGCCTAATTTCATATAATTTCTGAGTGGAAAATTCCAAATAAGTTAACTCCAACAACAAAATCCTAGATAAGTGCCCTTAAAATGCCACACACCAGGGACAATTATAAGTACACACAGAAACTTGGGCAAGAGAGAGGCTCTGCTTATATAGTGTGAAAATGAGCTTTCTTTTTGACATGGTATTTATTGATTCCGTGTTCCCCACTGGGACCATATCCCATGTGCATGAGACTCTAACGTGAGCTACCAGGACTGCTGCTGCTTTTACAACCACAGGCAAAAATTGCTGGGTGCAGCCATGCTCTTGCTTCCTCGGACATTTACACAGTGTACACATTCTGGGAGGCAGCATGCAGTACTATTCATCTGAAAACTAATAAGGGCTGGGTGGTGATGCTGGCAGGGCTAAAGACAGAAGTTAATACTGTGTATAAAGTCATTAATGGGCACAGGATTATGGCACAGGCTGGATTCCATCAAACTCTGAGTGTAACATACATTAAGGCCATTTCCTGGAGCTCCACAGCAGTTCTCTGTCGCATCTGGCCATCACTGCTGATCTGTGTCCTTCAATTAGTCAAGCCAAAATGTCAAACTCACAGCTTGGCTCCAAGCTCAAATTAGTGAGAATTAAGGAAAGTACATATGGTTAATCAGTCGGTTCCATAGAAAGCCCAAGAGGCAACAGCAAATTATACCCAAACCTGTGTCATTAATGCTTGAGCATAGAAGAGATTTCAATTAATAATCACCTTGATTTTAGTTCATAGCAGAAAGTTTTCTAAAAGCTACAGAGGAAAAGTGAGGTAAAAAATCAAGGAGCTGTTTTAAAACAAAGGATCAGTTCAGATCATGAGTGTTTGATTTAGAAGTATGCTTCCTGCAACAAGGGGAGCATTTTCTGTGTTACAAGGGTCCTTAGAAAAAGTCTGGTGATTCAAGTACCCATGAAAGCCCCACCTTGTACCAGCACTAGGGAGAGTGATATGAACCTTTAGGAGGTATTTGACCTGTTTTGCCCTGGAAAAGGTGGTTATTGGCACAGCATTAGACAATCTGCCCTTCACTTAAAGATAAGCCTCAAGAGCATAGCAGGGCTCGGCTTAGGCTTCTTTGAAATTCAAGTTATTAAGAAATCACTCTCTTGCTGATTTTTGTGTGTTTTGCCTCTCTAACTGCTTGGAACCAGGAGTGCTCCAGTGGCGGCACTTCTGATTTTCACCAGTGAAAGAGGAGCTGGATCAGGCCCTGGGGCTGTGGTGCTGGTGTGGGGTAGTGGGAGGTGAGAGGCTGGCTCAGTCCTCACCACTGGCAGCTGCCTTTTGCAAAGAACTTGAAAAAAGGAAGTTTTGTAACCAACCCACAAGATGTGCAGTAGGAGCAGGTGTTTTCCCCAAGCAAACTTACTAACTTGTGGCGTGGCCAAACAGAAGACAGCACTGCCGACCAAAAAAACGGTACTATTGGACCTATTTACATCCTCAAGCAGGAATAATACCAAGAACCTTGTCTCTAGCGTATTTCTTTTTCAAATTTTCTTAATCCACCCTAGCAGCTTTTAAACTGCGTAACATTAAAACTGGGTGCACAGGAGACACTCGTGTCTGCTGCCTTTTATCCACCAGCTGCTCTTCTCAGTCCCTGTGTGCTCACAATTGTAATTAAGATTAATAGTGGGGTTGCTGCGTGAAGATTTGCATTATACTACCAGCCAAAGGGTCCTAGGGCAGGCTCTTGCACTGTCACAGTTCAGGGGTGGACAGTGTTCAGGTTGCACCAGGTTTTTTGGGCACATGCAGGCAGGATACTGAGCTGGAAGTTTTGCTCAGTGCTGTCGTACCAGGCGTTTCCCATGTCAGCAGTCTAGAGGCATATGAAAAAAAAGCCAGCTAGAACTAACAGTGTCAGCAGGGTGGAAAAAACAATTATTTCTCCCCTACACATCCAGGCTGCTGTTTCCTCATTTGTAGTGACTGCTGGTGTTCGACAAAATAGGAAATGAGTGGTACTAGCATGAGAGGCTCTCCAGTTGTCGCTGACTTCTCCGCGTTCAAACTAATAATGAAGTGCTGCTGCTTTCTGCAGTTTGCTCCCACAAAGAGCATCTATGCATAAAGCGCCCTGCAGCACCAAGGGTCCCGAGTACTTCTAAAGGTGTTGGCTTAGGTCCTGCAAGCAGTCAGACGGCAGGTCAGCACGGATTAATTCAGTGCAGGATTTCTCAGGAGAGCGCTGTAGGGGGTCTCAGTGAAAGCAGAACAGGTGAATAAAAATCCAAAGGCCTTACCACATGTCTGTTTATGCAGTATATACCGTTTGCTTAACTTCTTCCTATTTGTGGTTACCACAAGTACCACACGAATGTCTTGCCTGAACAGTGTGTGCAGAGTGACACCTGCGTGGTCCAGTTTCACTGAACTGAGCAGAACTGGTGCTGCAGCTGAGATTGCTGCATTACACCGACTTCTTAGCTGTTAGACGAAGTGAGCTGGACAAGAAAAAGCAATACATCCAAGCAAGCTGCTTCTTGGGGCTTGAAGGTGATCCTTTAAAATATGTTTCTTCAGGAAATTCTTTGTGATCACTTTCCTGTAGTGAACTGTATTTCTTTCACAAATACCAGGATGTATTATGAATGCAAATATATCTTCTTTTGCAGCAAGCTCCGGCATACTATGTCAGTAAAATTGAGTCCAGCTTACAGCTATCTTCCGAAGGTCAGTGATTTACAGTCCCAATTTCATATCAAAGTGTTCTGGGTGTGGGATGGGCTTTCATCTCTTTAAAACACTGGATTTTGCAAATTATGTGTTTTATCAGGCTTTCAGCATGTCATCCACCTAAACCTCATGGCATGAAAATGGAAGAGAAGGGACCAGGCTGCAGTTTCATCAGAATTGTTCAATTTTCCTTTTGTCCTCAAAAACTTTACCTCTTTCAAAATAGAGTCATCTTCAACCCAAAATTTAAGATGCAAAACACTCCTCAGAGTTTTCCTCTGCAAACACACAAAAATGCTGTGACTCGAGCTCAGTTGCATGCGTCTTTCCAAGCTAACAAGCAAACTAAGTGAATACAGTATCTGAATCACAGAAATGCATGGCTGGATTCAGATTTCAAATACACCAGTATGAAGAGGACGTGTATCTGAAATTTTGGTCTGGCAAAAATAAGAACAGTTCCCAGGCTGAGATTCTTCAAACCATCCTGCTCCTGTGAGAATTCTAACCTCCTCTCGCAGACTCAGTTTTTTAAAATATGATTTGGAGAAGCATCTGAAATTTTAGGCAGAAATTTTAGGAGAAATGTAGCTGATACATTATGGGGAAAATGTCCATGCTTTAGTCATATCTGAGACTGCTGCTCTGCCAAAGCACTGCAGATCCCTCATTTTATCTGGGGAAGATGTTGGTTCCAGCAGTTAGCGTGGATTCTCATTTGTCTCTCTCTTTACGGCCTCCAGGTATGCTTTACTACGCAGCCATACAGGAGAAGCTGTTTACAACAAAACTGGGGAATTCCTTTAAGTGTGCCAGCAAGCAAACCTTCAGCTTGGAGAAGAACTTCCAACTGCTTATTGTCAATATGAAGATGCAGGCGTTTGATATTGTCAATAACCAGTTTGGAAAAGGTAAGTAGGATAGCTTTTCCACCCTTCTGAGATCCGCATGTCAGCACTTGGTAGCCTGATAGGTATAATCTTCTAGATTATACGCAGACACATGCTGTGATCCTGTTACACCTACAGCACAATCACGGCTTTGTGATAGTCCCCAGATAATATAACCTGCCCACTGCTGTAATCTCACCCTTTTCTGTGTCATTTTCAACACAGTGCTAACCCCTATGGAAGATGGGAAAGTATCTTTCCCTCTTGCATTCAGTACCTTCTGTTTCACCTTCTCTTGAAAAATGTTCAGTTCTGCAGCCACAATTTTATTCTTCAACCATTTTCTCCCAGAGCGAGCGCAGATCTGTTTGCCACCATTGCCTCGCCCGACCTCCTCATATCTAGAGTTCAGTTCAAGATCACTTTCTCGGTATAGTCAGATTTTAGCTATTTTGAAAGGCTCTTGACACTACCATGATGTCCCACAGCTGCAGCAGCAAAGTTGCCAACTAAAAAGGGATATTTGTGAATGCAGCACAATACTTTCAGAGTAGTTGTGTCTAGACATGATGAAAAGGGCTTCTGAGCAGCAGCATGATTGGTGTGCTCCCCATTTCAGAATTAAATGTGATGCTCATCTCTGCAGTTCATTTTTTCTTGAGTACAGCCACAAAGAGGCAACCATGTAGTTTAGTAAAAGACAGGGACAGACCAGTACTGGCTCCCCTGGTCTCTGGATTGCCCACAGTGGGAGAATGTACTTGGGCTGATCACAACTTCTTCCCTACGCCCGCACCTGGGGTTCCTTTCACAGGAAGATGAGATGTTGTCATCTTTGTTTCTTGCCCAGTGATGTAGCCGGGACCTGGCCAGGCTGCAGGGTGCAGGACTGCTGGGTACACCAGGAAACTCCCGTGTCCTACAGTACTAACTCTTTCACGGTCTAGTGCTTTATTTCTTATGAGATGCATAAAAAAGCCTACAAAAAGCAGAGAGGTGGATTAGATGGGACCCTGGGGTGTCCTTCCGTTTGTACACCTTCACATTTCTGTGACTTCCTCTCAGGGTGTTTCCATACAAGAACTGAGTTGGGCAGATAGGGTCGTCAGCTCTCCAGCCAACGCACCAATAAAACATTCCCATCCTCTGACATTTGGCTTTCTGCATGTTTACAAAATATTGCCTCTGTATTCTTCTTTTTACTTTAGACCTATCTTTTGACTCGGTTTGGCTCTGACTGATTCTTCTTTTGTTAGTTCACCAATTTGGCTGGCTTTCTTATTCTAAAAGGAACATAATGCAAACCAACATTTGGGGCTTTTTTAAGACATAGACTTCTTTTTTGCATACTTTTCTTTCAGTTCTTAAAAGATGCATTGAGAATCCAACCTATGCTCTCATTCTCATGATGAGTGTTTTCATGGGATAACACTGAGCTGGAGCAAGTCACGGGATCCCATCTGGTCCCCACATTCCCATTTAAATTCGTCCAATGACTGGGTTCAGTTATGGCTTTTGGTAAGCCCACACCTCTAGCAGAAACAGACATTAGAAAAACTTTCTCTCTCTCTCTCTCTCTCCCCAAGGTCAGGCTAATCTCTGCTAATCAATACCATACACAATATTAAATTAGTTTTGCTTTTAATCAAAGGATTGACAAAGCAACTACCACCTCTGAAATAATTTCCCAGGGGCTATGAAATAGTTATGAAACTCTTAGGTGCCTCTGCTGTATATGCATATGCAGATTTTGAAAAAGAAAATCCCCAGTGAAGGAACAACTCTACACACATCACCAGCCTCCTCCCCACAGTCGTCTCGAGACTGGTAGTTTCACTTCTGTTGCTCTTGATTTACTTATCCTTAAAAGGAGAAGAAAAATGATCATTGTTTTCAAGTTCCTTACAATTTTGTACAGACTGCAGCAGCTTTGTAGCAATAGCTTGGCCTGTTTGAATCTGGAAAGCTGTAAAAGTGTCTTCTGAATGGTGCTTCAGTATACCAGAAACAATTCCTAGAGTTCATAGCCCCAGGTCTTGTCAAAGCAAAATGGCCAATCCAACCATCTCTGGCTCTTGCAATACTCAAATGCAAATATTTTTCAGCTCACTTCCTTAAGAGCAGGTTCCATTAACTAGACAAGGCTTTTAAAAAGCAGCATCTAGTAGAATGCTGATGCCTTCGGCTTTGTGGCATTGCATCGCATGAAATATCCATCTGGATCAGAGGAGAAGAGGATCAGATCTTGGGGAGAGCTCTGTAGAGGCTCTGAAGCACTGACATGGTAGCACCCACTCCACATGCCCCCAGGACTAACTGCTCACCTTTGGCAAAAGGATTCCAATTGGGGAAAAGCCCAAGATACAGCCTCTGTCAGCAGAGTCATCAGAATTCAACAATAACAACAGAGGCTTTTGCCTTAGAGCACTCTTGAAATCTGTCTTGGAATAGTCACAGGGAGTGAAAGAGGTGGAGGGTGCTGGATCTCCCTCCTACCTGGGTATAAACTGGATTCAGTGCTGAGCTGGGATACGCTGTGGGGTTTAACTGATCAAGATACCCTACTCAGAGGACAGTTTGCTACTTGGGTGCCACTCAAAGCATCGTGCTAGAGGTCTTTCTTTCCCTGGAGCCCAAGGAAGGACCATTCCTATAGATCAAAGATAGAGGTATAACCCAGTTCTGGGGTAACACATTAGTGATCATTCTCAGATCTTGCCATTACTCCTAGGGCTACACTTGTATTGTGAATTTGAGACTGATCCTGTCATCATTGCTTGGATAAATATTCCATTTATGTCAGTGGCCTGGCTTGCATTTGCTAACTTCTCTGGAACACAGATGTATAGTCTAAGAGTATGCTGTTCTGTTATACTACATCCTCTGATTTCCTTTTATTTTCAGAAGAAGAATGTTTTCCTGATAAAAACAGCAAAGCAGCTCCCATCGCAGTGGGCCTGAGTATCCTGGGATTGTTTGTCATTGTGTTTGCCACTTTCCTGATTTCCAGAAGAAAGCCACATAGAGGATACGAACGTATTTGAGGTGCCCTTGTACTTCCAAATATGTGTATCAAGAAGGGAAGTCACAGGAGTTTTAGCTTCTACCTGGCAGTCTCACTGCCCTGAAGCCACAATTTTAAGTGAGATGACACCATGTGTTTAAGGCTGATGAATATTTCTGGAAGAAATTTCTTGAAAGTGGGAAGGAGAGAACTCATACCATCTACTTTAGGCTATTCTTAGCATCTAATTTAGGTGTATTCCAGAGAACCAAAGGGAGGAGCCTAAATTCTTTTTATTATCAACAAAGGGGGCAATTCAGACCACCTAAGTGAGATGCTTAAAAATAGCTTAAAATAAGCGGTATCCCCTAGAAAATCCATCAGGTTTGTTAAAGATAGTATTTAGGTTTATTAAAATAGATGAGTCCAGTAATACAACCTGCAAGTGAACAAAACAGAGGTCCGTAGCTACAGGCAACCCTGATAATTCCGAGCTCAGTGGAAGCCTTTCGGGAGCACTGTGTGCACTGAAGTCTCAGGGCAAGTGTAAATGCGACTTTCATTCACAGGCAAGTTTTCACCAGTCCTGTAACAGGGTTACACCTCGTAAACTCTTGGTTTTTTCCTGCCAAGCCCTTCACAAGGACACAATGGTAATATGTGACTCTTACTCTGGAGGCACTATTTTTAGAAAATTTGCTAGTTTCCAGTGACTCTGTATGCAAATAAGAGAAGATTACTCAGCTGAGGTCATACGAGGTTTGCCTGACGGGTACGTGCCAAAATTATCACTTGTCGCTGCTTGTCTCAGCCCCGCTGCCAAGATCTCTTAACTTCTTGCCTGCAAGTCTCGAACCGCAGCCTCATGCAGCGTGGCACATTAGAGCAGTCTGAGGTTGGTAAGTTTATCCTCAAGCATTATGCTGCAAAACTGCACCGAGCTGGTCGAGAGGCAGCCAAGATGTCTGTGCAGCAGAATGGGGCAGGCATTTGGAGGCAGTAACATCACTGATTTGCCACACGAGGCCAAGCCACCCCTCCATCGGTGCTCAAGGCACAGCATCCCCTTGCCACACAGGTTTGCCAACACAACGTCGAGCAAGCTAACGCGAAGGTCTGAAAGCACGGTGATACACGGGCCAGCACCAAGAGTGCCAGTGCAATAGATGGGGGCTGGAGTGAATTCACTTGATAAATTCAGGAAGCTTAATATTTCACATTTGTGTGAGAGCTCATGAATCACCCTATTCAGACACAGACCTGCTACAGTGACCACCACTGAACTCAGTAATGGCCCCTTTACTGAGCTGGCAGCACTGTGATCTCTCTTAATACCACACACAGAGAAAATGCCGGGGATTAAACGGCTGCAGCTGTGGCAGAACTGCCCCAGGTACGTGAGCAAATGGAAATCCACAGATGCTGTATGTCCAAGGCTCACCAGGAAAGGTTTAGATTAGATATTAGGTAAAAATTCTTTACTGAACGAGTGGTGAGACATTGGAACAGGCTGCCTAGGGAAGTGGTGGAGTCGCCACCCCTGGAAGCGTTCAAAAAATGTGTAGATGTGGCACTTTGGAACATGGTTTAGTGGTCAGGGTAGTGTTGGGTAGTCGGTTGGACTCGATGATCTTATTGGTCTTTTCCAGCTTTAACGATTCTATGAAATAAAATCTTGCACAGGCCTTGGACAAACTCTCTGCCCAAAAGTAAATGCTAGCCAGCGTGCTTACAGCTGAGCAGCTGGATTTTCTTATGGAAATAGTTTGGAGTTGCTTTAAAGCACACTAATTGATACACTCTGTAGTCTATTTCCTGCTAAGTCAATGATGAAGGCATGAAAGTAATAATTGGTTTTAAGTTCAGCTAATGTTCTTTGTTGTAACAAGGAAAACCTCCTTGTCACAAAAGATTTGCAAAGCTAAACATGTGCACAAACACACCACACAGTCTGTTCGCTGCAGCAAGTGACATCAAAACGATAGGAAATTATATATAAAAACATTTACAAAAGAGAAAATTATATTAAATAAGAGCAGACTTCCCCCTTACGAGTTAGGGTAATGGCTTAAATTTTACCAATAAAAGTTTTGCCTGGAAAAGGAATGGCACCCATTAAACGAAAGAAAGACTGAAGTAATCTGCAAAAATTTCTTGCTGTTGGCTTAATCTGGATCTAACAAACTCAGGAATGGTGGAAGCTAATTTAATCTTCATTAATACTGGCCCAAGTCCCAAGCAATTATTAATGGTGATGGAACCTTACTGGATTTTCTCTGGGTAAAACTGTGAGCTTAATTCTCCTTAAGTACTTTTTAAATAGTTTTGCTATTTTACTTAACCATTAAAAGTTTACTTATTTAAATTAAGAAAGAAAAGAAATTGTTCCATTCCATGAATTGTTAGAAGGTGCTGGTCAAGCAAGAAGCATGGTCATACTGTTCTATAATCGACATAATATGTAGCTGTGGAAGTGATTAACAGCCTTATGTTGAGTCTGAGCGAACCAATAAATAACAAAGATAAAGTCAATTTTGAAGCACTTTTGGAGAAATATGAGACAGAAGTCAGAACCAGCTGTGAGCAAGGGAGGCAGTTGAATATGATTATAAGGTAAAGCAGCGCAAGAAAAAGAATACCAAATTTAAACCTTTAATACTGATACAGTGATTTGAATGGTACTCAGTTGAATACTGAACTTGAAAATTGAATATTTAAATTCTTGTTTTGTAAAAGGCTCCAGTACTTTTAATATTGTTTATTGAACTTTGTCTTGCTTATTTTCACCCTTCTTTCTTCCCCCCTGGATAGGGCACAAGCAGCTCACTGGGCTCAGTGGCACTGCCCAGGCCCTTGAATTAGGAAGATCCCTCTAGTTCTCGGTTAGATTAATGCTATTAATCTGTGGTTTAGAAAGCAGATTTTTATACTCATTTAAACCATTCACTTTTTTTTTGAAACAAGATATTTGATGACACTCCCAACAGGCAAGATAAATATATATAAGAGCTTCTATTTGGCAGTGAGCCTATATATGCACGTGCAATAGTGATGTGACTGTCCCAAACTGTTGCAGGTGGACACTTTAACAACAAACACTGCCTAAAGAGCTCAGCACCACGCATGATCTGACCCTAAGCCGTTCTAACCATTGATCAAGAGACATCCCTCCCATCCAAAACTAAGTCCTGTTTCACATGTTCCTTGGAATGCTGGGTCGCAGGATCTGTACATGATCTGTTACTTCTCCTGGTATGGATATAGCATTTCCTTGTCACATTCTTTACTGAAAAATCTCTTTATGTTAATATTCAGTCTTTTAGCATTTGATATCAATGTGAGGAGAGAAAATTGTTCTTAACGGTTTATAATTCTGTATTTAATCATGTGACAGCCTCTGGTATTTTTACTGATGATGCTAGGTTAATTCTTTTCCGCACGCTTTTTGCTTTCTACAGTGAATCATGCTGTTGGTATTGAACAATGTTTGGATTCAAGTTTACCCGATTTCTTCTTATGCTTTTTACTGCTATTATTTGTTTGCCGTTTTTATGAAGCTGCATACTGCCCTTTCCAGACGAATAGTACTCTGGGCTTGCTCTAAATGGCACAAGTGAGTGCACACAGTATAAATGGATGAAACAACTGGATGCTCCCATGAGATGCTGCCAACATGCAGCAAAATTAATCCAGTGGAATTAGTGCTTTCCAGCAGTAGAGGACCCACTGGCGAATTCCTTACTGCTTCGGGAGATCCCAGCCCCCGAGTGCAACCTTTACCCCCTCGCAGCCCAGCCTGCGAGCTCTCACCGCAGCGCACAGAGCCGGCCTGCAGCAGGGATGCCTGTCGGCACACCAGCACAGCGGGCAGGGTTGCCTCTCTGAAGTTAGCACTGAAGTAGAATTAGGCAGCTCAGCTGCTCCCCAAGTTGCCACATGCAGCTTTTAAAGCTTGTGTTTGTATTTTTTGCTAAAATTTAGGTAGGTGTTTACCTGGCACTTTTTTATCTAATGGAGCTTCCTAGACACAAGGGCATCCTATGAGCATGATGATGTCATACGCAGACAAATCGCCAAGGAATTTATCAAGAAAGATGTAATTTCTTTCAGTCCTTTTTTGCTCTGATGGATAAATTCCAAAGTAAAAAACAGACGTTAATTATGGCTGAAAGAGGAAGGGTGATGTAGATTAGCATCTTAAGTGTATGAAGATGGTTTGGTTGATCACTTCTAGCTTGATATAATATACAGTTGCTAAAAAATAATTTGCTGAGAGAAGTTAAGATATGCTTTTTATTTTTCTATTGGTGTTTCTATAATAAAGGTTCTATTTAGCCATTAAAGTCTGCATTGCTGTGCAATTACTTTCTCTCTCGAGTGCTGCTTCACCTAAACTGTTAAAAATATAAATGCAATCTAACAAGCGGGCAGGGTTTTATTAGCTCTAGACACGAGCCACAGTCACAGATATGCTTATATCCTAACCATAACTTGACGATTATTTCTTCTGGGCCTTGGGCAGCTCATCTGACGTTTCTGTCAATGTTTCATCAGCATTACAAGGAAAAAAAAAGGATATTGAAAATATTATGCGGTTTTTCTGTTAATCTCCCCTCAACTTCCCGAGTATCTGATATTACTGTTTCTTTATATGACTAGATCTCTTTTTGTTTCCTACTGGCTCAATAAACTCAGATTAGATGTGACGGATGCTTGTTACTTCATGTTTAAACTGCTTTCACAGATAATAATCTTAAGAATTACAATAAGAGTCTTCTGAGGAGAATGCAACCTTTTAGTGTGCAGTTCTGGAAACTTGAGGAGATTAATAGCTTGGAAAATACCACACATAAATTTGAGAATTCAATGGCTTCTATCTTGGTCAAAGGAATTTCCCAAAGGATAGAGGGCTGGACCAGATGATCTTTAAAGGTCCTTTCCAACCCAAACAAGCCAATGATTCTGTGTGACTTTGCTGTGATTTTCCTTTTTGTCACATCAACAGACAGCTTAAAATATCGTACCTGTGGGACAACTGCA